AGGGTTTAGGGTTTAGGGGGGATGAAGGGTGTAGGTTTAGGGTTTAGGGTTTAGGGTTTAGGGGGGATGAGGGGTGTAGGTTTAGGGTTTTGGGGGGATGAAGGGTGTAGGGTTTGTGGTTAGAGGTGGAGTGGATTGTCATGGGGTCTTTTCGTGTCTTTGCGTTGTTTTTTGTCATAGCTTTCTTTGTGCCAGTGTCGTTTCACTTCTTCGCGAATGAAGGACGGAAGCCAAGAGGGTAACAGAACAACTTGAACGCCTTAGCAGAAATAGTCGTCGTTAGTGTTCGCATTCCAGCGCTGTGACCAGCCATGACAATCAAATCATCATCGCCATCGGCACCACCATCCTCCTTCCCCCATCGTCAGCAAGTTCACCAACATCATCGACGTCATCACCATGATCACCATCATCCTGCTCACAACCGTCACCATCCGGGACCATCATCATCACCAGCCACATCATCATCATCATCATCATCATCATCACCAACAGCATCGTTGTCGTCGTCATCACCGCCACCACTAACAGCGTCATCGTCGGCGTCATCATCATGCTGCTTCGCAATGCCATCATAGCAACAGAACGGGAAGAGATCACACTAGCAAGGACAAGCGAAGAGCCCAACGAATCCAACGAAGACTAATGCAGAAGCCTGATCATCAAACCCCCTTCCCCAAGGCCCTGAAGATTAGGATCCCTGGTTTGATCCTCGTCGAGGGTGAGGTCGTGTAGCAATCAGGGCTTTGCGCTACAGCGTGAGGCTTACTGTCTCTGCCCGTCGACGACGGCTGGTTCTCGGCCGTACTGCTGGTCCTGGTCAGGTGCCTTGAAGCCCTCGACCCACCCCAAACCCTATAAGCCCCAAGCCCTGCAAACCCCAAACCCCATAAGCCCCCAGCTTAATTGGTGAGTCGATCTCTTCAGGTTCGCCCTCAGTGCCCAGTGTTGAAGGTTGGTGCTTTGGCACTGCAGCCCCAAGCCCGAAGACAGCTGATCGAGTGTCTGACTAGTTGATGACTGTTTGGGCCCCCTGGCCCTACCACTTAACATGCTCCGATACATATACTAATTCTCATGATTCCGAGCCAGACTCCCTAAACTCCATAAAGCCTCTTGCAAACCCCATGCCCATGACTATCGCTTTCCTTGTCTCCTCCTCTTTCCTTCTAGGTCTCGGAGCTCCCCGGGCGACTGAGAGCCCAATGCCTCCACAGCTTGAGGAAGAATCTTTCGTGTTCTTTGGGTGACCAGGGTTTGGGGTTTAGGGGGCTTCTGCGGTATAGGGTTTAGGGTTTAGGGTTAAACCCTAAACCCTAAACCCTAAACCTTAAACCTCTCTGAAAGCCTCAGCCTCTCTTGCGCCTTGGTCGCGAAAGCCCATAGCCGGTCAGTCCGAGCCCAGTTCGTCCGTGCCGCCCCTGCGTCGAAACACCCAGACCACCATAGACACCCTCAGGTCCAAGCAGTTCCAAAGCCCGAAGCCACAACCGCCGGAGCATCCTGAACTATAAATATACATACATATATATATATACATTATGCATGTATGTATATGTATATATGTACATATGTATACACAGCACTGAGCGTCACAGCCAGAAGGTGCCATGTACTGCAGTACCTGGTGATGTCGAGTCAGCGATTCCGGGCCTTCTTGACGACCTACCGTCGCAAGTCGGGGGCCCAGCTCGGAGATTTCGAAACTCCTGCATCAAGCAGCAACACTTTCAATCAGGATAGGGGTGACCCCCCCGAAAAAAAATAGGAGTGCACTCCTTAATTAGTGAGGTTTTGAAGTATCTGGCAGTGCTGTTATCATCATCATCCTCCTCCTCCTCATCCTCATCCTCATCCTCATCCTCATCCTCATCCTCATCATCATCATCATCATCATCACCATGTGTATGAGCACGATGGCGATTATGTATAGCTCATGGTTGTGATGATGACAAGTTCTATTTCTGGGTCATCATTGTAAGTATGATCGGCCCGCAAAGCCGTCCGGGAGACTTGTCTAAAAGCTGCCATCCGGATAGGTCCTTTACAGTAAGCCCCACTTCAGAACTACCGAGAGGGTCAGGGATGAGGAATTCCCGCTAGCCTTTGGGGTTGAGGCTGCCGCTTGTGGGCTGAATCTTCCCTAAGCCCTAAACCCCAAACCCTAAACCCTAAACCCTGATCGTTGTCAAAGCTTCAGGGTTTCACCTTTCGGCCTCCAAGGCCGTGGCTGACGTGGTACAGGTTGTAAGGGCCTTAGGTTTCATCGCGCAAGTGTGTGTATGTACGTATGTGTGTGTGTACAGATGTGTTCATCTGTGCATGTACGTGTGTATAGTTATTCGTATGCATGTATGTGCATTACATGTATGTACATGTATATGCAAACGTATATGATGCATATGTCTATGTCTATGTATATATGTATACGTATATGTATATGTATATGCGCGCGTATGTGTATTTGTGTTTGTATGTGTATGCGGACGTGTACGTGTACACACACACACACACACGTGCAGGTGTATGGTATGTGTATGTAGACATGGACGTATGTGTGCATGTATGTACATACACAAGCATGCGATAGGCTCGTCCTCATGTACCGGTACGTATGTATACCGTGAGACATATCGCAGATGCTGCGAACGCACTCGCATGTGTGCATATTTCATCTGCCCCTAAACCCTAAACCCTAAACCCTAACCCTTAAACCCTAAACCGTAAACTAAACCCTAAACCCTCAACCCTCAACCCTCAACCCTCAACCCTAAACCCTAAACCCTAAACCCAAAGCTAAACCCTAAACCCTAAACCCTATAGGACAATGACGAGACCTATGGCTCCAACGCTGCCGCACATCGACGACCAGGCTTCATGGCTCTACCGGACGGCCCCCACTGCGACCTGGATTCTGACACGACGAGGAACCGCGACTACCACTGCGGAGAACCGCTGCACAAGACCGAGGAGCCGCAGGACGGATCGGAGCACGATGGCACCAACCTTATGCAAACCGGGGTGCGACTGAGCTGGGAAGAAATGCTGGCTAACCTGCAGCATGACCTTGAGATGCTGCCGAAACCCCAACGAGCTGAAGCGGTGGTGCAGCTGCTGCGCTGGTTGGACTATCGGGCTACGGATAAGGAGCAAGGCTACCTCTTGGGCCACATGCGGGGGCGAACGGCTGACCTCACGGCCCTACTGGTGGCTGCACTGGATGACACTCAGGTGGATGCTTCGACTATCACGGGCCCCTGGTGCTCCTCCTGGGTGCTCGAGACCCGCAGAAGGCTAATGGAGTTCATTCCATGCCATGAAGGATCCCATGAAGGCTGGGGGAAGCCAATGGAAACAGGCATGCCTTGCATCATGCTGTTTGGACGCCCACCACCGACGAGCACACCACCATCCTCGCCGGGACTCAGCGCGGTGGTGGACTTGGAGGAGGAGGAGGAGCATGGTGAACCCAGCAAACGCCGGTGCTTGGCAGTTGAACTCAGTTCGGGCTCCGGGGACGCTCCAAGGCTTGCCAGGACGATACGTATGCCCTTCCCCGGTGATGTTTGCAGCTTCCAGGTTAATGTCAGGGTGGAAGAGACGGACGAAAGTGAGGCCACCACCATGATAGGACAACAACCGGCATGCCCTCGCCAAGACCGACCGAGCCTGACGGGCTTCAGACTGCCCGAGCCGGCGCCTGGGGACCTAGCAGCGTCGGGGATCTCCATGAGTGAGTTCATGGGGCTGTGGACCGGGTGGAAGTCTGGGTCCATCTGCTATGAGGACATTGCCAGGGTGTACGGCAATCATGCAGCCCAACTGGCCCAACGACTTTGGAGTGACCTTCCCGCCGAGGCCTACACCAACCCCACCCTTTATCCACAGGAACAGAATCTGGATGTGGAGCCGGCCCAGTCAGAGGTTATGCACGCGACACAACAGCAGGACCCCCACTTGACTGCACTCGAGTCGCAGACCGAGCGGACGCCGGACCACACCAAGGAGACCTTGGACGATGAGGCGGCCCTCCTGACTGTTGTCATGCGCCTGCTACCAGCTCTTCAGGTGCTTGCCCCGGAGGTACCCGTGGTTTGCGAGTTGACGGCCATGCAGTTGGCCAGCAACTGGATTCGACGTCTACGGCAGCAAGGACTCGAGAATGTGGTGATCACCAGCTGCCTCTTGAACTACGCCCAGGCACGAGCAGACGGAGAATACATGCAGGACTGGGAGGACATCCTCTTGGAGTTAGGCCTCGAGGTCGAAGGGGACCAAGGGCGAACCGAGGAAGTGCCGCATGCTGTGAGTGAAATGCTTCAGTGGGTGGAAGCAGAGATGTGGGAGGACTACGTGGACAGGCTGGAAGGCTTGGTTGGCTGGGAGTCGCAGCAGGTGGCCAATGCCCGGGAAGTTGCCAACATGCATGAGAACGTCCGCGGAGAGTGGAGGCAGCGGGCTGCAGCTGGGGACATGAATTTGGACCTCACAGTACCGACCACTGGCCGCAGAGTCCGACCACGACGGGCGCAAGGGCAAGCTGAAGAAGGAGGATCGGAGGGCGACGCCCAGTCGCTTATGGAACGGCCGCATCGACATGGTGAACGTGGACGGGACGACAGCAGGGGTGCACCAGAACGCCGAGGGAGAGACGCCAGGGATGCCAGAGGAAGTTCGAGAAGAGGTATGGATACGGAGGAGGAACGCACCAGGTCGCGGCCCCTTGGAAACTCGAGACCGAGTCGATGCACCGAAGAGGTAAGAAGGTTGGAGCCTCGCCGCCCACACACGCCCCGGCTAACGCCCACGACGACGAGGTCGGCCCTGCCTACTTTGTCAGTGGACGCGGCTACGGCGCGCTGGCTGCACTTCCTCAACCTCAGACCGTCGCCGACAACCACTTCACTGGAACCAGCATTGCCGCAGGAGGGCAGGCAAGAGCGCATCGACTGGCTGGGGACGCTACACGAGCAGGACATGGCAGCTGCTATGGCTGGCTTGATGCGAGTACTGGCTATGTTGATGGTGGAGTGCTCGCATATGCTTGTGACCCACCAGGCGGCCTTCTTGGTGTCTGTGGACCTGGAGGAAGAGGACGACGAGGAGACGATCTACATGCAGCAAGGTTGGACTACGGCTAAACGTCGGAAGACCGACGACGGACCTACGGAGGAGGACCTTCGGGCGGAACATGAAGAACGGGTGGCACTACAACGCGAAAGAGCAGCCCGGGATCAACAGCAACAAGAGCGTGAAAGGGAGGAAATCGCCTGGGAAGCAGAACAAGAAAAGCTGGCAACCCAGCTGTACGCGGCACACGAGGCCGCTCGCTACAGGGACTGGGAACAATGGGAGGTACTCCACGCTGTGTCAGCAGTTCCGAAGCGACAGCACCTCCGCATTGTGGCTGAAGCAATGGGGCCAACGGAGGCGAGTTCTTCTTCCACTACCCCCTCGGTGCAGGTCTTTCAGTGCGAGTTGCCACGGCTGAGGCAGGGGGGCTTCAGACTGACACTGGAGATGGGCGAGGTTGGCCGACCGGTGGCTCCAACTGCACCAACAGTTCCAGAACGGCCAGAAGCTCCCTCTACCACGACGAGCAACCGCGCCCAGCCGGACGAGGACGAGCTGGACACGGTCTACAAGGTCTGGTCTGCAGGAGGTTGCTCAGACAGTGAAGTCCGGGCGAACTATGGGGATGAGATCATGACAGGGTTCCTGGCGCAGTGGCTTTCAGAACAAGATGACATGGAGGGTGATGACACGGACGAAGAGCAGGTCCACGAGACTCAATGCCAAGATGAAGGGTCGGAAGGGCAAGACACACCGGAGAGTTGAGCTTTGTGTACGGGATCCCGGATGTTGCGTACAACGATGGCTCTGAGGGGTTGTTTTCTCACCTGCCTCCTGAGGCTTTCCGACGGCTGACAGCAGGAGGAAAAAGGTGCTCAAAAAAAAAAACCTATAGGCTATTCCTTAATTAAGGGATATTGGAATCTCTGGGTTCTAGTGTTCTACACCCGTAGTTACGCCGAAGCTACAGATGGAACAGCACTAGACTTTAGTATCCCCTTTACGGGACCCCTTAAAAGGAGCCCTAATTCTAATTCTCAAGGCCCCTAAACCCTAAACCCTGAACCGTTATGGGTATAGTATCGCCAAGAAAAGAACACAGCAGAAGCCAGGATCCGCACCGAAGAAGATTTGGCCCTCTTCCGAGGGAACTTGGACAGAAACCAGGCCTGGTTTAGGGTTTAGGGTTTAGGGTTTAGGGTTTTGGGAATTGGGCAGGGAGTTGTGGAGACCTTCCAGCATCTAGGCTTCAGGGCGCCAAACCCTCAACCTTGAACCCCTGAGCCTTAAATCCTGAAGGACCGGCCGCAGGCGGAAGTCGGAAGCCCTTGTGCCGTACTGTTCTTTACCAGGGTTTAGGGTAATCTCTCTATCACAACCCCACCTTTGTAGTCAGAGACAGTCCCTCTATCTCCATTACGATAAGTGTGATCATTTACGCTTGAACTCAATGAACTCTATCTCTTTTGATCCACACTTAACACCAGTAGATGACTTACATGTACCCCTTTCCGACGCGGTGAAGTATCTTGGGATACATCTGGACCCTAGATCCAAACCCATAAGAACATCTCTTTTCGGATATCCAGAGCAATGGAAGCCTCGAGAAAGCTGTCTCATTTGATGAAGCATGGACTTCTCCCTCCCAATTTGAAACTACTTGCGTACAGATCTGTAGTCCAGTCTATTTTGTTATACGCCATGGACAGTCTTCTCCTTACCTCCCACATTCCAAGAATGAACTCCGATCACTTCCAGTGCTTGCGCCGCATCTTTAAGATCACATCCTCTTACTACCACCGGGTACTTAACTCAATGCTCCAATCGGTTTGTTGCAAACTTACCCTTGTTCGTCTCGAAGGGTTTCTTCTTCCTCTCAGTTGTACTCTCAAAACCGCCTCAAGCTGTTGGGACATCTCTATCGACACCCCGGGTCTCTCGAAACGCAGGCTAATTTTATGCCATCAGCAGCATACCGCCACTGCGCCGCCAGTACACTCCTATTGACCATGAATTCTTCTCTCCATTTTAATCTTCGCGAAGATACGCCGAATACATTCCTCGCACCTCCTTGTGTGGATGGATTACACTCCGCTTTCTCCGCTAAGCCCACGTAAGCGCCTCTGAAAGTGTCAAGTGTCGGTGCAAACGGGACCAGACCCTAGGCCTTTTTGAGTGCAGAAAAGAAAACACCAACACCCACAACCCACGAAGCCGGGAACCCTAAACCCTAAACCCTAAACCCTAAACCCTAAACTCACAGCAGCTGAAGGTGCTCCAGAAATGGCAGATGCTGTCAGGCCAGGTGCCGGGGTTTCCAAGCGGGGGCGGGGTCGCACCCCGAGGCCGAACCCTCGGAGCTGGCCTTTACTGGGCTCTTGTTAAGGGATTCTTGTTAGTTTAGGGTTTAGGGTTTAGGGTTTAGGGTTTAGGGTTTAGGGTTTAGGGGATTTAATTTAAGTTACCAGAATAGGTGCTATAGTAAATAATATGGTTTCCTTATTATGGTAACTTAAATTAAATCCCTTAACAAGAACCCAGTTTAGGGTCGATTTCCGGGTTTTTGTAGGGGCCTAAATAATAATTACCTATACTATTTTGGGGGCTCCTTATTATAGGGGTCGATTTTCGGGTTTTTGTAGGGGCCTAAATAATAATTACCTATACTATTTTGGGGGCTCCTTATTATAGTTATAGTACAAATGGGCCCCAAAACCCTATTCTAATTGTTAAGGCCCCTGCATTAGGGGTTGAAGGTGTCGCAGAAGGTTTGGGGTTTGGGTTCAGACGGAGGATGTAGTGGCTTGCACTGAGTGCCGCAACCAAGCCTGGAGCACTTGCAACTAAGCATCATAGGAGCACCGGCACCCTGCCATCGTGGGTTGGTTCAGTACAAGATACTCCAGAATTCCCGCACCCGAAACGTGCCGAAACCACCGAAGTTTTTCACGTGGGTTTCTTATCACCACACAAGAACCCTCTTACACCTACTCCAAAAAGCACTAATTAAGGGCCCTCAAGCCATGACGTCTGCAGGCAAGGCCGTTTTCAGACAGGGCGGTCGTTTGGTTGCGCCGAGCTCCGTCGAAGACGTCCTGGAGCTAGGCCTGGGATTTCTTACCAGAGACGACTTGGCTAGGCTTAGTTTTGTAAGTGTTCGTCGTAGATGCGTATAAGATTCCTATAACGGCTTTTGTAGGTCTCGACAGTCGCTTCTCGAAGGGGTGTTTAAAGTTCTACGGATACGTGTGCAACTTAAGGATCATTTGTGAAGCGAGTTTTGGAGATTGCGCTGTTCATTGCATCGCCGAGTGTCTCTGTATTTTGCCCAAGGCTTGATGGGTGTCGTACGTTCTTCGGGAATAGCTCGCAAGCCTCCGGACGTTTGGGTGGAGGCCAAGGCTCTTTCAGACTCTCTGCTATGTCTGGTATGACATGTTCGCAAGGCCTCAACATAGCACTCCGTATGACCTTGTACACCCCTACGAGAACTTCTTCAAATTCTAATTAAGCCCAAAGATCAGACATGCCCGATAAGCCCTAAACCCTAAACCCCCCGATAAGCCCCTGCATCAAGTCCGAAGCTTTCCCTGAGGGGGCTTCGAGGACGCCGCACTCAACACTGAGCATCTGGGCCTGCAACATAGAAGCTTTTTAAAACAAGTAGTAGTACTACTCCCCTATAGGCCCTATACCCCTAGATCATTATGCTTTCATGCCCCTTCTTCTTCTTCTTCGGCCCGTTTATAAAGTGGAACGGTTCTCAGGTCTTGAGCTAAACTTTTTTTTGTTTTTCAGTGTGGGGATTGCAGGCGTCGTGTTTATGTCGAGGCTTCTTATCGGGAATCTGCAAAACCCTAAACCCTAAACCCTAAATAGCAGTCCCAGAGCCTGCCCCTTATCGAGTTGGCGTTCCGGATCTCGTACGGGATCACCGAAAAAGACAGGATACGGTGACTATGGATTACGCTTTAGGGTCTAGGGTTTAGGGTTTAGGGTTGAGCCACTCCGAGAGTCCGACAGGATACTCGTTCATGAGGGAGAAGGCCTTGAATCATACTAAGGACACCAATGCCACGGTTTAGGGTTTAGGGCTTAGGGCTTAGGGTTTAGGGTTTAGGGTTTAGGGAGTATTCCTCGACCAAGGGGTATTGGGCTTTCTTCAGCGGTGTAAGCCCGCCTCTTCAAGGGGTTGGACAACTGCTAACATGATCCTACATGGAACGGACCACGGGCTTATTCCCTAAACCCTAAACCCTCAACCCTCAACCCTAAACCCTTAACAGCCAGCCGATCCTTCCAGCCGATCCGACCCTGAACTCCTGTGAGCTCCGCCGATTTATGTGTATTCACACCCGAAGGTTCACGCGAAACGTGTCCTTCCAGCCCCACAACGGGCAGCCGGTGTACGTGCCACCAGTCCGGATGGAATCCTGCGCCCCCTTTGGGGGCACCGAGGAATCGGATCGGGGTTGTGGGTTTAGGGCTTAGGGTGCTTCGGGCCCTTCTCCTTTCCCTTCATGGAAACACTCAGCCCTCAGCTGGACATTGAGGTCGAGCAACGCCCAGTACGTGCTATGCTCCAGCGCCGGCGAGGACGACAAGGTGTGGCTGGCACCTCGGTGGCACTTTGAGCGGTCTTGCACCTGTTGAATCCAAAACGGGACTTCCTTATACCCTGGAACAGTTCAGAGTCTACGTAGCCTTTAAGGAATAATTACCGCTACTGTTTCCCCAGCGTTCCCATACAGAACTACACCGCAGTAAAGCCTCAATATGCCTTAACCAGCTACTCGAATTATGGAGGCCCCTATATTCGATGAATACTGAGGCCCTAAGCCCTAAACCCTAAACCCCATGACTCGATGCATGCTGAGGTCATCTCCTTGGATGACTTTCAACACGAGAAGAGCGGCAGTTGGGAGGGATTCTTGGCTTTCTCATGGAGTTGAGTTTAGTACCTCGCCCACTTGGGGCTACCACCTTAATCCCCCAAGCAACCCCTACAAAGTTCTCGTGGTACCCTACAGCCCTAATGCTTAAATAAGTATTTGGGGGTTCCTCATTATAGTTATGGCATAATGTACCCCAAAAACCAAGTCTAATTGATACGAATTATTGAGACCTCTATACCATGCCAGGCCGTCTCTGGTCGTCCCTGGGGGCCTTGGCCGTGTCGCCGCCGGGCATTTCACTGGACAAAGCGCCACAGACCGCCTGGCAGGCACCAGTTCGCGAATTTGGTATGTATCTATGTATGTATGATAAAATCAAATCAACATCTATGTACGTATCTATATATATATATATATTATACACATATGTATATGTAGACAGCTTTGTCTTAGGAGTCTCAGGAATGATGGATTGTGATATCTTTCCTTTCAAAAGCTGTTAACGCCGCTTAGAGATTCTGCCAGGCGTTTCCAGAGTTGGGTCGATCCTGGAATGCCTTTGGGATAAGCCCGACGACGTCGGCTCTCCAAGTGAGACTCACGCCCAAAAAGCCTATACTCTGACCTCCTAAGCCCCTCAACCCTCAACCCCTCAACCCGAAATCCTAGGGTCCTAGGCCCCGAGTTCCAGACCCTAAGCCCTCATACCTGTACACGCAAACCTCTAATCCCCCGGCCCTACGACGCAAGCCAATGCTTGGACAGCTGAGCAAGCAGAGACAAACTTATGTCATGCTTACTATGCTATTTTATATTGGGTTTAGGGTTTAGGGTTTAGGGTTTAGATAGTATCATGTTACACTTTACTGGCCTATAGTATTATTCTAGTATGTTATATGCCACTACAGTATAGCACACATGTGTTGAGCTTTTCCTTGCAGGAGTTCACGCATGGCAAGCGGCTTCGGCAAAAGACCTAAGGAGGCTTTGGGTCTTCATTGGCTTTAGGGTGGAGGGTTTATGGCTTCTTAGGTTTTTTTTCTAAAAATGGGTTTTTGGGGTTTAGGGTCTGAGGCTTCCCTAAACCCTAAACCCTAAACCCTAAACCCTAAACCCGAAACCCTAAACCCTGAACCCTAAAGCCTAAAGCCTAAACCCTAAACCCTAAACCCTAAACCGTGCTCCGCTCGGACTGGCAGCGTCTCGGCCGAGTTTGGGTTTAGCGGTCTTCGAGCCGTGGGTCCCTCTGTATTCAGCAGTTTCAGGGTTTTGGGTTTAGGGTTTAGGGGTTTTGGGGTTTAGAGGTTTAGGGTTTCGGGTTTAGGGGTTTAGGGTTTAGGGTTCAGGGTTTAGGGGTTCAGGGGTTTAGGGGTTTAGGGTTTTAGGGTGATTCAGCTCGTAGCTTGAGTAGCTTAGCTTTGTTGTCCGTCATGTTAGACCCTAAACCCTAAACCCTAAAACCCTAAAGCCTAAACCATACAGGGCCTAAAGCCCTCAACCCCAAACCCTAAACCCCTCGAAGACGTTTTAGGCCCTAAACCCAGAGACTCCAATATCCCTTAATTAAGGAATATACCTTAACTCATATTAGGGATCCTACCATAATCTAAGGTATGTTCCTTAATTAAGGGATATCGGAAACCCTAAACCCTAAACCCTAAACCCTCAACCCCAAACCCTAAACCCTAAACCTTAAACCCTAAACCCTAAACCCTAAACCCTAAGCCCTAAGCCCTGCACTTGACCTGGGAACGCCCAGGTGGGTGCTCCGGGAGTCCGCCGGGCTCGTGGGCCTCCAAAAGCCCCCGCTGCCCCTGCAGGCGTGGCTTTCCAGACTTCGTCTGGGAGTAGGGTTTAGAGTTTAGGGTTTAGGGTTTAGGGTTTAGAGTTTAGGGTTTAGGGTTTAGGGTTTAGGTTTAGGGTTTAGGGTTTAGGGTAGTAAGATTTAGGGTGTAGGGGTTTAGGGGTTTAGTGTTTAGGGGTTTAGGGGTTTAGGGGTTTTGGGTTCAGGGGTTTGGGTTTAGGGGTTAAGGGTTTATGGGTTTAGGGTTTAGGGTTTAGGGGTTTTTGGTTTAGGGTTAAGGGGTTTTGGGTTTAGGTTTAGGGGTTTTGGGTTTAGGGGTTTGGGTTTAGGGTTTAGAGTTCAGAGTTGAGGGCTTAGTGCTTAGGGTTTCTTTCAAGGGTCTTCAGGGTTCATATGTATGTCTGCGTATGTATATACAGAACCTATGTGTATGTATATGTAGATAGATAGATATGGATATTCAGACATACACATGCACTTTGTCAGTAGTGTCCTGCCAGTAGATTTAGTATTGTTTTCTGCGGCACCTAGTGTTTTTTAAACAGGATTCTGAAAGGGTCTTAGGTTCTTTGGGGTTTTAGGCTTCAGGGTTTAGTGATCTTTAGGGCTTTTGGATGTATGATCTGGACAGGTTCTGAAGGATGGCATCGTAAAAGCGTTAGCAGGGTCTCTGCTGACGATTCTCGGGTTAACTTGAGATAAAAAACCATACCTTTCCTGCGGCTTCTATACAGAAATCATAGTACAAAACCCGAAACTCTAAACCCTAAACCCAAAGCCCGAAACCGGTTTCTTCGGGTTCAGGAAGGATTTCTTAGCTTTGAGGGAGACTCTCGGCCCAGAGCAGTGCCAGGTGCGGATCTTGCCAGCGACGGCGCCGCCGGTGGTATCTTATCGGGAGACTTATGTACAGGCGCTGTCCCTGCGGTGCCGTTTAGTTTCGGTTTAGGGTTCAGGGTCTAGGGTCTAGGGTTTAGGGTTTAGGGTTTAGAGTTTAGGGTTTATCAGGTTTAGGGTTTAGGGTTTAGGGTTTAGAGGCGCGGTGCTTCTGAGCTCCGCTCGGCGGCCCAACTCTTCTCAACCGCAGCCCCCAAGCTTCCACCCTGCTGGGACCTTATAAACCAGTTGATGCCGTTTTCGAACCCTTCCGAAGTTCCCTTCGGAACACTTCGAAAATCCCTTTTGAAAACTCTACACCACCCTTGCAAAGCCCCAACTTGTCGCTGGAACGATGACACTCTGTTGGGGTAGGGTTTTTTGGGAGGACCTCATCAGAGGTTTGGTGAACCCCCTGTAGGGGTTCGTTTTGGCTTCGCTTAGACTAACGGTTCAGGTTTGGCATTCAGGGCTTAGGGTTACCTTTAAGGGTTCTACAAGGCATGTGCAGGGAATGTTTCTCTGTAGGCCACGGAGCGTCCGCTCACGCTCTGGAGCTCTCTGTTCGTGGTGGTGCAGCTCGTGGACTACGCTGCTTGGCTCTGGGCTCCGGGCTTACGTATAGTTTCAGGGCTCAGATGCAACGCTACACAACTCACAGAACACTGAAACACCTATCGGGTATGAGCTGTGAAGCGAGATAAAGCCAACCAGACAGCATCATGCTTTCACAAATCATGAACCCGGCTCCCGGACTCAAGCATTCCAAGAAGCTTTGGCTTCAGATTCCGTGTTCTGTTCGCCTATCTGATCCGTTTCTGATGTTACGGCGGTTGGGCATTCGAAGCAGTCTTCAACTTTTCATGAGCACTAAACCCTAGAGCCACAAAGCCCCGTAAACCTAAAGCGCCCGCAAAGCCCGAAAACCCAAAATCCTTACTGTACAGGTCTGAATATTTGGCAACAATATGCTTCTCCATAATTACAAAATCCTTATACCCCAAGCAGAAACTTCTTCCCAATTACATGGACACCCATGTTAAACCCCCTAAGACTTGTAAACACCTTTCAGAGGTATGTGAAAAAACCCGAAGACCGCATAGCCCTAAGCCTTAAACCCTAGGAAAGAAAAAGCCTCAATCTCTAAGCCCCGATCGCCAAACCCTAATCCCTAAACCCCAGTCCTTTAGACCCTAAAACCCTACTCCCCAACCCTAACCCCAAACCCCAATCCCCAAACCCTAAACCCTAAACCCTAAACCCTAAACCCTAAACCCTAAACCCTAAACCCTAAACCCTAAACCCTAAACCCTAAACCCTAAACCGATCCTTCAGCCCTTCCTTAGTTCCGTCGTTCCGTCGTTCCGTCGGCCCCAAAGCAGCGAAGCTCCAGGTCCTCCGCCGCAAGGCCTCGACAAAAGCGCTGACCAACAGGTGGGTAGTTCTCTAAACTAGGGCCCCTTTGTAGGTCCTTGAGGGTTTAGGGTTTAGGGTCCAGGGTTTGGGGTTTTTTAGGGTTTAGGATTTAGGGGTAGTTCTCTGGACTAGGGTCCCTTTGTAGGTCCCCAATATAGTACGGCACCCTTATAAACAGGACCCCAAAGGGACCGTATTTTAGAGAGCAGCCCAGGTCGGTTTTGCGGTTTTGGGTTTCAAAGGTTCAAGGGTGTGGTTTAGGGGTTAGGGTTTGGGGTTTTGGGTTTGGGGTTTTGGGTTTGGGGTTTTGGGTTTGGGGTTTTGGGTTTGGGATTTAGGGTTTGGGATTTAGGGTTTAGGGTTTGGGGATTCGTAGGGCCAGAAGGGGGGTGGTTGTAAGGTTTATTTAGATAAACTTGGGGTTTGGTAAGGGTCGAGTCATTTTTGGTGGGCCTTTAAGGATATTATGTGGGCTTGTAAGGGTCTTCATGTGGGTTACAAAAGGTAGTGATACGGTAGGGGTGTCTGTAGAGGCAAAGGCGGGTCTTTGCGAGGTGTTTGTCAGGCCATGCCACTTCGTCGTTTATTGTTACATAGAGGTTCGACCAGGGTTCTGTAAGGGCAAGGCTTCTGTAAGGGTCCTCTTCTACAACATTGGGATGCATTGGGTGTGCGGATTTCATTCGTTCATACCGCTTCTGCATACTTCGAGGATCAGGAGAGTTAGTAAGTAGGGTCATAGTCTACGCTGCTGGGAACTACACATGAATAAATGTTTGCCTGTCCCTCCTTCTAACTACCCCAGGACCGTCAAGTGCTGAAGGATTTCATCTTCCGAAAACCCTCAACCCTAAACCCTGAACCTTGAGAGGATCATCAACCTCATGTCGCGGATACGCTGGCTGCAGCCTGGCTGCGCAAAGCAAAGCTGCAAGCCTCGTGAAGCCCTCAGCCTAGGACCCTGAACTCTGGAAGCAAAGCTATAGCTTACTGTAGTATATATATATATATAATATATATATATATATATATATATATATATTTATGTATGCTCATATCCTGTAGCCCGACACAGAATTTTACACCCACGACCGCAGAAGAAACCTGATCTCCGAAGCCCAAGTCGCTTGAAGCTAAGATCCTTGTAAAACCCCAGCTAGCACTCTATATTACCACGGTTTAAGGTTTAGGGTTTAGGGTTTAGGGTTTAGGGCATACAAGACTCGAAGTGCAGAGTTTCCAGCCTTTTTTGAGGGATTGCTCGGATGGTGCTTTCATGAGGTTCCTACCGGGGTCTTGTAGTGGTCTAGGGGTTTGTGTAGGGCCTGGGTGCGTTCATGGTGGTGCAGACACGAGTTGTGGGTTGCTGCTTTGTGTAAACGCCTCTTTGAGAGAGATGCCGTAGTAGAGGGATGGCCCCGCATTTGGCAAACCTTGGTTCGGCCATGCAGCATCACGTTCTGGACTGGAGT